TATTAGTTTTGTTCCAATAAATCAATTTTGTAAATCCTAGGAATGAAGAGATTGCCTGTCAATCGCTTGCTTATACCCATTTAGAATGTGAAAAGTGGAAATTGACCAGGTGTGATGGCTCAAGCCTATAATCCTAGCGGTTTGGAAGGCCAAGGTGAGAAGATTGCCTGAGCTCCAGGATTTGAGACCAGCCTGGGCAACTTGGTGAGACCTCATCTCTACAATAAATCAAAAACTAAGCCGGGCATGGTAGTGCACGCCTGCAGTTCGTTACTTGGAAGGCTGAGGTGAAAGGATTGCCTGGGCACAGCAGGTCAAGGCTGTAGTGGCTGTGAGCATACCACTGTATTCCAGCCTGGGCAACAAAGTGAGACTCCAACATACACACACATGCACACACACACATACACACACACACATACACACACACACACACACAAAGTAGAAGTTACATGATAGGGGCAGTGTCATGGTGTGCATTTCTTACTTGAAGGGTCTACAGAAGTTTTTACCAAGTGACCCATTTTATTTCACTCTGGAAATGTGTAGCTTGTATCGGGGCTGGGCTGCTTGGTCAGCAGCAGGTCTGTGTGGTAGGCCCCACCAGGTCAAGCAGTAAGAAAGGAGGCAGGAAGCAGCACATGTGGGCGGGATGTTGTGACCATGGCTGCCTGAATAATAACAGAAGGACCACCAGATCCAGGGGGCAAAGATAGGGTGGGGCCAGACCAGGATCAGACTCTGCACACTCTCTGCCCACACACAGGCCCTAAACAATCCTCTCTGGATGATGAAGGCAAAATAAAAACATTTCCAGACAAATTAACACAGAATTGTCATCAAACCTACACTATAAAAAATGCAAAAAGATGTTCTTAAAGCAATGGCAAGTTAATACAGACAGAATACAGAGCACTATACATTGTAAAGACAAAAGATTTATTTTTTCTTCTCTTAATTCCCTTATAGTGCAATGGGCTCTTTAAAGCGAATACTGTTAAATTGGGTTCAGGTCACATTAACAGAGTTTTGGTCTTTTATATTTCATACACTGAAAACCATGATATTGACTAATCTCGAAAGGGCAAGTAACGTGTATCACAGTCAATCAAGATCAAATATCCCAAGTCAAACCTTTTGGGTCAGAATGCAAGAACACATGTGGGACTGAGAAAAGGTATTTGTCAGATCCCTCTAACACTAAACACACAACTTGCTGGGCAGGCTTGGGTGCACAGGGTTAGTGTGTGTCTGAGATCAGGCAAATAGACTGTGTAAGCTAGAGAAGGCAAGCCCAGTGAGAGACAGGGCTGTTTCCTGCTGAGAAAGGGGACATGGTATGCCCTCTCTTGGGTAAAGACGAAACTGGGAAAAGAAGAAAGGCACTATGGACTGAATTGTGATCCTCCAAAACTCCTAAGCAGAAGCTTATCCTCCAATGTGATTTCTGAAGATGGGGCTTTCTGGAGGTAATCAGGTTTAGATGAGGTCATGAGGATGGGGCACTCACAATGGGATGGATTAATGACCCTGTAAGAAGAAGCACCAGAGAGCTTGGTACCTCTCTCTCTACCCCATGAGGGCACAGCAAGAAAGCAGTCATTGGCAAGCCAGGAAGCCAGCCCTCACCAGAGGCTAATCATACTGGCACCCTGATTTCAGACTTCTAGTCTCCACAACTGAGAAATAATAAGTTTCAGTTGTTTAAGCCACCTAGTCTATGGTATTTTATTATGACACAGGGCCAGGCAGTCTAAACAGCAGCCTAGAAAGTCAAGAGAACACCTTCCTTTTCAACACCTTTATGAGAACTCCTCCTTCCAGACATGTTGTCCGCTGAGTCATCTGCACTGAGCCACCTCTCACCAGGACAGAGGCCCAGCAGATGTGGCTCCTTCTGGACAGCTTCAGTAAGGTGACAAGTTTTAGTGGAAATCAGCTCAAAGGGAAAGGCAATGAGACAAGTCTATGACATGGGTTCAAGATGCCATTTCAGAACTCAGCGAGTTCTGAACTCACACATGCACCTGTCTACCTATTCTCAACTGTACCAAAAGACCACGAACTTTTCCTGGAAAAACATGAAAAGGCTGGAAAGGAGCTAAGGAAAGGAGAGCAGGCAAGGTATTCCAGATGAGGTAAGGGTGAGGTAGGCTGGAGTGGGAGGGTCCCAGGAAGGAAAGAAGTGATGAAGAAAGCAGCAAGGAGTGTTTGTGGAAAGAAGGCATGCATTTGTTCCCAAGTCCAATTTAAGGCAAATAAATTCTGCCTGGAAGCTGCTCCATGCACTGCCTTATCCTCATGAAGGGTTTAAGCTGCTCACTGGGTCAGATTTTTAAGTTGCAAAAGAAGCTATCATAATCCAGTGCGACCAGGTTGCTGCATTTCTTCAGCATCACCACCCTGTACAGGTTCTTCTAAGGACTCCAGAGCCTCCTCACCACCTAGAAGTAATTCACAGCTGCAACCTTGAGCACCACAAAACCCACTATGCTGAGCACAGTCCTGCTCACTCGGATGCTATGCTCGGCCACGGTTCGAAATAAGGGATCAAGAGAGCTGCCTTTGAGGAGGCATTATAGCTAAGTCCTGCTTTCGACTGTTTAACTCTGAAGCTTAGATTCCAGTTGTTAATCCTGGTCTCAGGACTGGTTAGGTCTCAGGACAGATGACTCTTTATCCAACTAGCATCATCTGACTCCAGTCTAGATGCTAGTCTAGTTATAATGGGGTTTACAAGCAAAAAACAGAGTTCCCAACCTTGAGGTGCTTTAAACAAAAGAAGACAACAAACAGAAACACAACATGTAGAATAACAGCCCTTCTGGGTTTTCATCATTTGGAGATTCTTTCACTTAGCTGTTTATATTAAAGGATCTGTGGCCGGGCTCGGTGGCTCAGCCTGTAATCCCAGCACTTTGGGAGGCCGAGGTGAGTGGATTGCCTGAGCCCGCGGGTTCGAGACCTGCCTGGGCAACTTGGTGAGACCTCATCTCTACAATAAATCAAAAAGTAGCTGGGTGTGGTAGCGCACGCCTGTAGTCCCAGCTACTTGGAAGGCTGAGGCGGAAGGATTGCTGGAGCCCAGCAGGTCAAGGCTGCGGTGGCTGGGAGCGACCACTGCACTCCAGTCTGGGTGACAGAGTGAGACTCCAACTCAAAAAAAAAAGGATCTGAGCCCCATTGGTTAAATCCTTGTTACCCAATGTGGTCTGAGGACAAGCAGCATCAGCAGCATCTGGATGCTTTCTGGAAATCTTGGTGCTTGGCTCCATCCAGACATGCTGATCCAGAATTTGCATGTTTATAAGATCCCAGGTGATATGTAAGCACATGTTTAAGAAGCACTTGGTTAAATGACCCACCCAGGTATGTGGGCGATAGCAACAACTAACCAACAACTAAACTACTGACTTTCCAAAACAGGAACTCTTCTCTACATTACTACATACTGTCTTAGGATAAAAGTAGCTTTGCTATGAGATGCCAGGGCTCCATCCCTAATTTAGGGTGAGTATTCAGGCATTGTATTTCCAAAAGGTAGGTACAGCCAGGGTCAGAATAAAATCAAGAAGTCATAACAGGATAGTGACCAGAGATTTCATGAAAGAGACTTGGCTATTTAGTTCTGAAGGATAGGCTAGATTTAGAGGAGCAAATGGAAAGAATGCAGGCCTGGTATTCCAGATGAGGTAAGGGTGAGGTGGGCTGGAGTGGGTGGGTACCAGGAGGGAACGAGGTGATGAAGAAAGCAGCAGAGTGTTTGTGGAAAGCAGGCAATCCAGATTTCTAAATGGAAACTCCTAATTATTAAGAGAAATCTTTCAGCATGAAACAAGAGGCTGGCCACACCAAATACCTATAAGCCACATGTGGATATCTGGATGGCATCCCTGCCTAAATGCAAATCAGCTGGATGCAAGTCCATTTGCTGCTGAAAAACTCTCTCACTGTGGTCATGACCGTCTGCCCAGTGTCTCAGACCCTGAGATTCTGACCACACTTCCTTCCCATTGGTGTGTTTCTCCAACTCCTCATTTTGCCCACTTCCTCGCGGCAGCTCAGGTAGCCCCTCACGCTAGTCTTCTCTGGTCTCTTAGAACGGGTCCATGGAACACCAGCCACACATGTCATTACTGTACAGCCATCATCACTGGATGCTGCAACACAGGCATCTCTGCATATACTTTGAATAACTCGTTTCTTGGTGAATGACTGAGCCATGGGTAGGGCAGAGAGGATGAGTTGCAGGATGAGTCTCAGTACTACTGGACACTTCTCCTGGGCCAGGAATTCACAACAAACGATGAAGCCTCAGGGAAGACAAAGGACAGATACATCCTCTGAAAGCTAAGAAGAAGCTATAGGAAGTTCTCAAGTCTCCCTGGCTCACAGGCCACGTGGTCATCTTCTTGGTCTTCCTGGAGGACGAAGTTTCAGAAATCCTGTCTAAGGAAAGTGATAAGAAGCGAGAGGCTGCGGGGTGGAAGCGCAGTGGGGCTTCCTCCCGAGTTGGGGTGTTCCGGAGGCCACAAGCACAGCCCTGTTTCCAACCAGGATCCCGAACAGAGACCCCCGGGATTCTCCTGACGGCGGGCCCATGCTACGGCCAAAGAACGAGGCTCTGCTCCTCAAGTGACGAGAGTCTGCCTATAACTTCGTGGCCTTCAATATGAAGAAAAAGGTCCGGGCACCCGCAGGGCGGTGTTAAGATTGAGGGCTAGGACTCAGTATCCGGGTCTACCTCGTCGTGGGGGTGAGACCTCGAAGAGGCTGCTGGCCTCTCCTTGACTTTAAATAGAGTCTAAAAGGCACAGGTGCTGGACGAGGCTTCGCCTGCCCGCTCACGAAACGCGGGGCGCCGGGTTTCAAATCATCAGCCGGAGAGGGATCACCAATGACCGACGCTACACCCACCAGCCGGATAAGTTCGGGACGGAAGTCGAGCGGAAGCCACCCCGACACCTCATTTCCGTCCGCCAAGGGGCGAACCTGGCACCGGATGCGGAAGTCGCTGCAGAGGTTACTGGGGAGTGTAGTCTTCGAGACCATGGCGTCCCGGGGGAGGGTCGCGCGTAGGGCAGTGAGCCGACTCTGTCATTTTCTACAGGTCTTCTGCGCGTGGTTTTAAGACAAAGAGGGGGGAAGCCAGGAGTCACAGTGGCCGTTCTCCAGCGGCCGGAGCATGTTACCCGAAGCGGCACCGTGGGAGGTCCATGGGAGCCTCCGGCCGTCAGAGCGCCTCAGGTTGCGCCGAGCATCCTGGGAGGTGTGGTCCCCGCGCCGTGCCGAGGATTCGGGGTAGTGTAGTCTCGGCGCCCCGCTGGAGGACAGCCCCAGCTGGTGGTTGGAGCGACCCCTTGTTCTTTGGTGGCGCTGGTGAGTGGGGCTCCCGCGGGAACCTTGCCGCAGCCGTACCCTTTTCTGCGCGGAAAGGAAGGTCCTGGACGACTGGTTCCTGGGCTGAGCCTGGGGACCGAGCGGATGTGGCGGGGGAGGGGGTAGTGGCGGGGGCGCGGGGGGGTAGCTCGGGCCATGCTCTCCCGGATGTCTTATTTTGGGGGTGTGGGCGCGCCTCTCTGGGGGAGTTGAGTGAGCTCAGCCGTGAAACCCGGCGGGGGCGGGGTTGGGGCTCGGGCCTTCTGTCTTGGGGTTCTTGCGGGTGGTGACAGGTTCGGTCTTGGCTGAAATTGCGGTACTGGGCGAGGGGGTCGCTCATGCCATAAACCCCCAGGTTTCAGGGGTTTGAAAGTAGGCCTTTGGGGAATCTGATCTTTCCCAAGTGGTAGTGTGGTGACCCTCCTTGGGGCCATGTATCTCCGAGGTTTTGGCCACTTGGGGGCTAGTCTTCTTTGGGCCAATTACCCCTCAGCTCTGCAGGATTTGGGTGAGGAGCAGGCTAGCTTGGCCAAACGATCCCTGGTTGGATAGAGTCTGGGGTGACAATGTTGGCACGATCTTAGGGTCTCAGTTTGGGTGGTCACCCCTGGTCTCCGTCCTTGGAGGAAGGAGGTCAGGCTGGGTCCTAGTGGACAAGTTCTAAGGTCCCAGAGACCGTCACTGATCACAAGAATCACAGATTCTCACCCCTCTGGTATGGCTTTGGGATTTTAAGTCCAATTTGGTTTTTTATTGCAGAGAAATTTCAAACAGCCAGAAGTATACAAAAATCCACAGACCACATGTCCATCACCCAGATCCAACAGCTGTCACCTCATGACCAACCATTATTCATCTCAAAGTGGACACAGGGAGAATCATTTCAACTCACAGAGGTTCACCGTCATTGCCCTTACTGTTTAAGATCATGGTCTCCACAGCCAGATTTCCTTGGCCCTGTCACTTTATAGTTGTATCACCTTGAGCAAGAGTCTGAACTCACTGTCCCTCAGTTTTCTCAAAATTAGGAAAGTAGCAGCTACTTCATTGGGTTGTTGTAAGAATAGAATGAGGTAAAACTCACAGTTCCTGGCACAGTCTCTGGCATATGCCACCTGCTCTGTAAACATAACCTTCCATTATTAATAATAGAAGCACAGAGAGGATCACCTCATATTCACTGTCAAAAGCATGTCAGGGCAGGCTGTGTTCTCAGCCTATATCCCAGCTCTTCCCAGGAAGCTGCCCACAGTACTTTTCTTCTGTGGCAGGTCCACTCCTGATATCATTAAGGAAGAGGAAACGCTACCCTGCTGGAGCTTGAGGGTTTCCATTGACTTTCCCAAATATTTATTGTTCTTGTTCTGACAACTTTGGCCCCTGCCTGTCCAGAGAGGACTGCCTGCTGGGGAAAGGGGAGAATCCAGAGCTCCTGACAGCCCAGCTTCAGGTAGGTGTGCATTTTGAACCATGAAAGGGATTTCCTTTGCTAATTTGACATCTGTGTTCTACAGTGTCCTCTCTAGGGTCAAACCTAGCTAGTTCCCCCAGGAAAATAGGCCTGTTCTAAGGGTGACCATTTCCTCAGGGAATATTTTTCAAAGCTGGTGCTCTCATTCCTTATATCTCCATTCTTATCCCTGCATTCCTTCTCTCAGGATTTTTTTCAGATGTTCATTTTCAGGTCTTGTCAGGTGGTGCGAAGTTGTCAACATCCTGTTCTTGTGTTTTCCAATGCCCTCATTTTACTCTCTTCCTGCTAGAGTAATTTGTAGCAAATCCCAGTTATATCATTTTCATAAGCATCTAACACTTAAAGACTTCTTGTTTTAATGTAACCTCAGTTTCACTGTTACACTCAACAAAATAAATAGTTTAGTAATATTATTTAACCCTCAATACATATTTAATTTTTTCCCAGTTGTTTAAAAATTGCCGTTTCTCCTTCCAGTCAGAACAGCCCTGATCAGAGGCAGGCAGGAGAGGGAGAAGTATCTGGAAACCGCCTGATGGTTTGCCCTGTCTCCACCCGCTTCTCCTCCTGTTTCTTCTGACCTTGCTGATCTGTGTGAGCAGCTTTATAACTTGATACAAGCTGGGCCTCTGAGTTTTCCTTGCATCCCTGCTGTTTCCAGACTTAGCTCCCATTTAGAGGCTGCATCCTCTCATTCCCACCTGTGCATTCTCTGTGATTCCTTTTCCTTACCATTCCTGTCTCTTCTCCTTCTTGCCTTGTTTTTCCTTCCCTTTAGAGCTAAGCTCCTTGAAAAAATGATCTCTGTATGCTGGCTCCACTGCCATTCATCCATTGTCTTTTAAACATTCCATTAAGGCTTTTTCAGTTCTGCCCACTGAAAAATATTCTTGTCATGGTCACCAGTGTTGTCCCTGTGGCTAAAGGTCACAGCCAGTTCTCAGTGGTTTTTATCTAGTTGCTTACTTCCTCCTCTTCCTCCTTGTTTGTATATCCTTCCACATGGCTGCTGTTGGTTTCAGGTCTTCCTGGTTTTCCTCCTACCCCATAGGCTGTTTCTCCTCTGTCTCCTTTGCTGGCTTCTCCTCTTCTCCTTAACTTCCACTGTGGAAGGCCCTAGTTTAATTCTCAGGCCTCTTGTCTCCGCTAGCTATATGTTTTCCTTGGTGGTCCCATACACTTTCAGGGCTTTAAATGCCGTCTGCCTGTGGCTCAGCCTAGATCTCTGCCTTCAACTCTATGTGCCGTCTCCTACTGTGTCCACATTTCCACTCGGGTGTCTCATGGGCATCCCAAATCTAATGTGTCCAGCAACAGACTCTGATCGCCTCCCCTGAACGTGCTTCACGCCAGTGAGAATGGACAATTTTTTCAAGGAGTTTAGCTTCCAAAAGGAACAAGACATGGTAGCTCCTTCCTTCAGATTGCTCAGGCTCAGAAGCTTGGAGTCATCTCCATTCCATTCTTTCTCTTAAGCCCCATCCACTAAGCAAATCTAGGCTCTAACGATCTCCAGCCCTGCTGCTTTCACTGCGCTACAGGCCGCCATCTCAACCTGGGTGACCATAGCCTTCGAGCGGTCTCTTTGCTCCCGGTGTCCCCTGAGGTATATTAAGCAGTACGGCCGCCAGAGAGATCTTTTAAAAGGTGAATCATATCATCGTATGTGTTTGCTCGAACCTCTGACGGCTGCTCATCCTAACCAAAGCCAAAATCCGCATCCTAGAGCGGGGCCTGGTCTCCCACAATCACCTTTGGACGTCATCTCTGCCACCGGTCTCAGTCTGAACACGCCAGCCACCGCCTGCTCTCTGGTCCTCGACTCTTGCATCAGAATCTTGCACTGGCTGCTCTCCTGACTGAGAGGGCTTTTCGGTGTTACCGGCTCGGCTCGCTCCCTCACGTCCTACGGATTGGTGCCCAGTCAACTCAGAAAGGCCTTCCCGAATCCTTCGTTCAAAGTCCCGCCCTACCCACTTGCGTTGCTGCTCTCCTCCTTTCCCGCTCGGTAGCCTGCCTGTCGCTCATCCCTTTCAGATTTGCTGTGTGTTTTATTCGTTTAATTTGTCCAGCTTCCTCCGTTGACCTCCATGCCACTGAGGGCAGGCGGTTCTGTCTGCGTCACTTCTGTACACACGGGTTTGAAATAGCGCCTGTCACACAGTAGGAGCTCAGTAAATATTTGCTGCACGAAGAAATAGTCCAGCCTCGTGTATACCGAGCTGATTCCGGTAGTATGGATGGAGCCGCCGGGAGTGTTGGGAGACGGTCTGCGGAGACTACCAGGCTCTTGCCATTGTCCTAGTGCCCTGGCTACGTAGGGGTGGGGAGGACCTGAGAGAGTTCAGGGGCGGAGTCAGTTGGCCTTGGCAATTGGTTTGACGTGGAAAGTAGTCATGGCCACTGAGGGCCATGAATGGCAGGAAGATGCTTCTGTCATTAAAAAAGCTGAAGAGAAAGATAACACAGCATGTCAGAAAGGGAGTTCTGGTTATTGATTGCTGCACAGTAAACCACCCTAAAGTTTAGTGGCTCAGAAGAGCATCCTGCTTTAGTCTCTCAGAGTTCTTTGGGTTTATCCTCATCACCTGGGCAGTCCTTCCTCTATGTGAGGTACACATCTTGCAATGGGAGCAGTCATTTGGAAATTCATTTGGATTGGAACGTGCAAGATGCTTCTCTGATGTATTTGGTGCTTTAGTGGATTGGCTGGAAGGCTGGAGTCAGCTGGGGCAGCCAGGCCTTTCTCTCACCATGTGGCATTACAGCCTCCACCTCTCTGTGTGGTCTCCGCTGCCAGAGAGTTGAACTTATATGGTATCTGGGGACTCCTGAGAGTGAAAGCTGTCTAACCTTAAGACTTATGCCTGCCCATGGCAGGTCTTCCTGTCATGAATCTTCCTCCCTCTTTCTCTTTTTCTCACTAATACACTGTTTATATTTAAAAAACAACAAACTTAAGCCTGTTACCAGCACAATGTCAACTGGGTCACATTTCTTGGTTAAAGCAGGAGCAAGGCCAACCTGAAGGAGCTCCTAATGTTTAACGCAGGAGTAATTTTGACAGCAAAATAAACAGTGCTAATACTGTACTATAGCCCATAGGATAAGATATGAATACATACTGATTTGAATAAATAACCGAATAATATAAATGGGGAGGCAGAATAGCTCTTGCTTACAGAAGAGTTTAGATTAGTGAATTTAGAATGAAAGAGGGAAATAGAACATTGTTACTTGGTAAACACCACGGTAATAATTGTTGCGCACAGGTTCCACAGATGCATGCTAAAATTAGCGTGTGGAAGTTTGAAGAGAAATAGGATATTTGCATAATCTCAAAGTGTATCTCCCAAGATATGTATTAATATAAAGGGAAATAGAGTGACTTTACATGGAAAATCCCAGCAGATACCACCTTCCCCAAGTGATCAAGATCAAGGTGAACATTACCAGTAAAGAGGTACCAACATCATGGAGTCATTGATACGGTGCACTGAAAAGGACACAGCATCACAGCATTGGAGACATTCAAACCGAAAATGAAATGGCCTCATTCTTACCATGAAAAACTATCAGACAATCCAAAATTGAGGGCTACGCTTCAAAAGCATCAAGTTCAAGAAAGAAAAGAAAAGACAGGATTCTGTCACAGATTGGAGAAGATTAAAGATACATGACAACTAAATACACTGTGGAAGCCTCAGGTGGATCCTGGGCCAGAAAAAGTACAGTAGTGGAAACACTGGAGAAATTTAATGAAGGTATTTAGTTTGGTTAATAGTATTGTGTCAATGTTTATTTCCTGGGTTTGATTATTGTACTTTGGTTTTCTAGGATATTAACATTAGAAGAGCTAAGTTAAGAGTATATATGGGAATTGATATTTTTGTAACTTCTTTGTAAGTCTAAAATTAGTTCAAAAGGTTTTAAAAATCCATCAATCCTTTATTGTTGTTGTTTTTTTTTTGAGGAATCTATATTGACTTTTGTTAAAGAATATCTCAGCATGTATGGAGGCAGTTGGAGTCTTTTCTCTAATATTTAGAATTTTGCTTCAGTATTTTTGCAAGTGATAATTAGTTTATAATTTTCTTTTTTGGAACTGTCATCAAGTTAAGTACCAATGTTATACTTGCTTTATTAAAAGAGAGATGACTTTTTCCATAATTTTTTAGTTCTCTGGGATAGTATTTGGAATGTTGGGACTATCTGGTTTGAAGGTTTGGTGGAATTTACTTGTGACCATTTGGGGTCAGTTTTGGTAAATTGTATTTCCTTGGAAGTTATTCACTTCATTAGGTCTACAGATTTATTTGTATAGAGGTCTGCAAAATAGTCTTATGTGGCTTTTTAACAAATGCTTTCTGGTGATTTAATAGTTGTTTCTCCTTTGGTCATTTCTTCTTTTGAATATTCATACTTCCTCTCTTCTCAATTGTTAGCTAGTACTTATTAATGTTTTTTAGAAAACTGGACTTTGGCTTATTAGATCTACCATTGTCTGTTTGTTAGGTTCTGCTTTCATCTTTATTATTTCCTTCTTTGTGCTTTCCTTTGGGTTGCTTTATTTTACTAGTTCTTTGAACTGGGAATTTAATTTGTTTATTAGGATTCTTTCATATTTACTTATAAAAGTATTTAAGGCTATAATTTCCTTCACCTCACTGTCCTAACTAAACCCCATATGTATGTAGTGTTTTCATCATCATTTTTTAGAAATTCCTTAGTCTCATTTTGTCTTTTTTCTTTTGTTCCCACTATTGCCCGTGTAGCATGCAGCAAACACTTTCTACTCTTCTCTCCACTTTTCTCCTCTATATTCACCTATTCAGGACACACAGCTGTATAATATTAGCATATATTTTCTTCCTCATTCTTTTAGAGTTAGATCTATTATTATGTATATTAAATACTCATCATCAGTCATTTTGCAAGTTTCCCATTGTGTCTTGCTTTGAATGATTTTTTTTTTT